TGAGGATGGAATCTTATTAGGGTCTGTCCCCCCTGTTACCTAGGGGGGACAAATATGGATTACTATGCTGAATATGAGTAACTCTCAGGGCCTGGTTCCCTCTGAACTAAACTCTGGATGATTGGACAGCTTCAGGAGGAGTGAGGGGGAGAGAGAGAGTGGTGGAGAGAGAGTGTGTGTCAGAGTAACAAGGCCCGCAGGAGAGAGAGGGAGAGAGAGAGGGAGGGAGGGCGGGGGGGGGGTTCATGACTGGAGAGATTCTAGCTGGTTTATGAACTGAAGGAAGGAGCTGTGGGGTGGTGATCCAGAGCCAAACGATAGGACTGAGGGAACCAGAGCCCTGGAGAGCCTGGAGGGAATGGATCAAAACAGGTGCCTTGTAGATTGAGAATCACTTTCAATTATCGCCGCACAAGCAATGACAACCTCATTGGAATCAAGGCCAAACTGACATAGTTGAGATAACTAGTTAGGAGGTATATTTGTTAAAAATATCAGTTGTATCACTTTATGTCAAATCTCACACTATTATTGTTTTTTTTTTTTACCTTAAATGGAAATGTATAATTGTTTTTCTGGGCTTTATGCATTAAGAAATAACTTTACGTGAGAAAATATTTGGCGATTAAAATAGAATATTCCTTTTTTAAATGATGAGGGATGGGAAAATGATTAGATGAGAGATGAATCAGGATGATGAATTATTATATTTTTAATTAATTCCAATGTGAAATATAAACACTTCTTGATAATTTCCCGTGCTCACATTATGATCCAAAAAAGCAAAGAGGTCCTTGGTGAGCATTCTTCAGTGAGGTGGTCCCTTTGAAAGTGAGGGATTCTTCAAACACTCATTCATTCCACAAATAGTCACAGAGCACTCACTGTGTCCCAGGCACTGTGACAGGCATTGTGGCTGTGGCTGCAGTCTCTGTTGTGACTTTGCTCACAGTACAATAGGGGGGGCTGTGAGAAAGTGTGAAAAGGACCTGGAAGTTGTCGGAATCACAGTGGAGTCACTCTTGTCAACCCGACCAAAGAAGATAAATAAAACCAGTACGTTATGAAGGAAGAGTTTTTATGCATGATTGCCTGATAGTAACTATCACAAGACTACCAGAACCAGAAGCCTGCACAGAGGTCACTGCACCTTATATAAAAAGTACTTCTTTAAGCACATCTGCTTGACAAATGTCTGTTCAACCTCAGAATGATGCCACTCTTGTTATTAATCATTGTGGACAAGGATTACTGTTTCAAAATATCTGATATAATCTTCCTCATTTTTGTCTTTTAAAACTTCCCTTTCCTCAATCTCTTTAAACATGTCCATAGTTGATTATGGCATGCATATTCCCATTGTAATGTTCTGCTTTTCCCAAATAAATATTATTCTTTTGAGAATCTCTCTCTCTCTGATCTGTTTTTTTTTTTAAATTTAGGTTGACAAAAGTAAATAGGTCATACAGTCATACGATGAGTCCCAGGATGGGGGACTAGACGGGTGGTGGGAGGATGCAGAAAAGCCGACTACAAATGGACACTGGTCATTTGGTCAGAGAAGTCTTCAATGAATGGGTGAGTATTTAAGCAAAGGCCTGAAGAATGGTAGGATTTTGCAAAAGAGTGAAGCCTGAGGTGATGTGTAGGGAAAATAAGGGTAAAAAAGAGGCTTCTGGCAGCAGGAAGATGACTTAGCTTGGGGAATTTGGAGGACTCCACATTGTTTGATGGAAGCACTTGGTGCAGGAAGAAAAAGGAAAAAAAAGTGGCAGGAGATGAGGCTGAATGAGGCTGAATTGGGTGAGAAGTTACCTTTTGTAAAGAGCCTTGTAAAGAGTTTGATCCTAACACAACAAAACCCACAGGAAACTAGTGGAAGGTGCTGGACAGGGGAGCACAGATGAATTAGACATGTTTTCAAAAATTACTCAGGTCATAGAGTGGAGACAGACTGAACTAAGACAAAAGTAGGAATAGAAACAAACCGAACAGAGGGGCTGTTCTGAGAAGTGACCCTGGCAAAAGAGAAGACAGAACTACTTAGAGGATAGGTAGAAAGTAGGATCATTAAGGCTTATTGTGAATTAGTGGGGAAAGGGAGAGGGCTGGTTAGGGGCAGGGTAGTAGTGACAATCAACATGGCAATGTAGCAGGAGAGACCATTTAGATTTATGGACACTTCTCTTTTCGTGACTGTCCATTTCAGAATGGAAACCAAGTTTAAGAGAAGCACAGATACTTTTGAGATGCTTTTCAACTTCAGTGTTTGAGTTCCATTGCCTAAACTTAGGCAATTTTTTTTTCTTTCAGTAGATTTCAAGCAAGGCAAAAGGAAGGTACTCACCTGTGTAACTTGAGAAAAGCTAGCATGCTGCATGCATTAGGAACTCAAGTGCCCACAAGGCAAGAAATGATAAACATGCTCTGTCTTTAATGTAAGAAACTTTCCATCCCCGCCCTCACCTTAGGCATCTGCTGCACACACAAATCAAGACCATGTTAAGTCATGGAATGAAAAATGAAATGAAATGAAATAAAATAAAAGCAAACAAAACATACTTCCTGTGGGGTGAATGGAAATTTTTGCCTGGTATATTTTCCAGGTACAAGATCAGTAATTCTGAATATTTGAAACCACAAGTAATTGTGTTCTTTAACTGAGATTTTAAAGAAGAAAGGATCACCTAAGGGGACCTTGACGTAAAACACATGGGCATAGAGGCAAGCCAAACTTCCCAGTTACACCCAGATAGCCTACAAACCAAGAAGCATGATAATCAGGAAAAAGCAACAGATTCACATCAAATAAAACACACACATCTAGTTGAACTAAAGCTGAATTTGACTGCAACTTGTACAACTTTTCTCCCCTTGAGTTAGAAACACAACACTTTAATTTTATTAGGAAATCTTTTTTTTTTTTTTTTGGATTCAAATAATTTGGAACTTCCTCTAGGACCTAATTACACTTCCTCTCTGAAAATATAGAACCCAAAAAAAGTCATGTTACCATGGCCAAATAAATGAGGACTGGCCTCAGAATGTAGCATGGTAAGGAAGAGTATGGAACCCAGAATCTCATTGTCCAGTTTGACCTGGCTCCTAACTTTTCAGCTATGTGATCCAGAGTTAATTGCTTAATTTCTAGAACTCTCCATGTCCTTGTCTGTGACGTGAGAATAATAATGGGATCTTTCTGGTACAGCTGTTGTGAGAAATGAATGGGTTAATGCTTATCAAACAGAGGGCATGTGTTCTGAAAGTGTTCATTATTTGGTTCCTGCCTTCTATCTTCCTTTGAAACTGCAGCTGAGCTCTAGAATTTGGGTCAGTTTTGTTCACATAAAGTTCAAGCTCTCATTTTAGTTCTAGAGCAGGGCCACAACTAGGGCAGAAAGTCGTTTCCTTTCCACTACCTGTGTGTTTGCTAGAACAGGCCTCAAGCACAATGCCAGTGGGTCTTGGGGACTTCTTTTGATGCCCTTGGGGGACACACGGGAAACAAAATGAAGGAAATAAGGGGTAGCAAGTTCCTAAGGTCTTGGGGGCCCAGTCTTTATTGTTCACATTCAGTGCTGAGACCCCGGAGTCCTGAAAAAGACACCTAGGGGAAGCCTCCACAGCTTTGGCCATCACTCCCAGGTTAGCTTCCTCCTTGCCTTTCCGACCCTTTGGCTCTATCCAGTGCCCCTAACTGCAGTTCGATCACCCCAGACCTGGATCTGCTTCAGAACCTGGACATTTGGCTCCTGTACCTTGGTTTCTCTGCCTGACTGAGGTGAGTTTCTCATCTGAATGCCATCTCTGCAGGTTGAGAGTCAATCCCTCCCCAGAAAGTCCAGTCTGGATGGAGAATCCTGGAAGCCAGGTCAAACCTCTGGGTGGCAGGATCAGTAGGCCTTGGCATAAATAGTTCCATCTGCTTTGGTTCAGTGAACCTCTGGAGCTATTTTCCAAATCCCAGTGCTGACACTAACTACATGACTTGGCCAGGTCAGGTATTTTACCTCTCTGTGCCTTAGTTTTCCTCATTTGTACAATGGGGAGATGAGTGATTCCTACTTCACAGAGTGGCAGAGAGGATTAAATGAGTACACAGACACACACGTTATCTATATGTACACAAAAAATAATCCATTTAAGTACAGGTAAGGCATAACATAAACATAATATTGGACTATATTCATGGTATATTTTGTACATATTAAATATGTTATTTGTGTCTTTACATTTAATTTTATGTTTTGCACTAAGATGTATTTCATATAAATCATATAAATGTAATTATTTATATTATTATTATTATTGTCATTTCTATTTTTATTTTTCTGCTGAGATAAAGGAACCATGAAAGACTTTTCAACTTTCTTGCTTTTATCTGTGTCTATAAGTGCAGAATCCCTATGATCTACAAATTGCTCTATCGTGCAGAAACTTGCCATCATTTGGAAACTTACAATCTACCATGAATGTCATGCAAATATAATTTCTAAGATTCCTGGGATGCTCTTCTTTCAGATCTCTTAATTTCAATCTCTGCAATAATTTCATTTATTTCTTGTCCTATTTCAATGACTTTCTCTTCTCTGGAGCAAATAACGTAGGACAGAAATGTGTCAAAACCTATGTCTTATTTATCACATAGTATTTGTAGGTCTTGTTATTCCCAGTAGATATTGATTCAGTGGTACCTCTGAATGAAGTGGTTGTGAAAATAGTAGATTTTGTCTTTTTAACTTGTTTCTTTGGAGCCAGAATAAGGGTAAAGTTTTTTTCCTGTCTTCTCAATCATCAATAATCCATGGATTAAACCCTTGACCTCCATAAGCAGTAACCCTTCCTATATAGCCGTTGACATCAATGAAAAGACACTCC